CCTGGAAAGCCTTTAAAACCTACTCATGGATGCCAGGGTTCCATTCAGACCAATCAAATACGAATATATTGGGAAGCAGACCAGGCATGGGTATTTTTATAAAGCTTCTCAGGTGACTTTTTTCTCATATAAGGAGATTGCATTGGTGATTAATTGCAAGTGCACCTGAATTCTGAGTTTGAGGCTCCAGGTCCTCCTTTTGGATGACACACCAGAGAGACACTAGGTCTTTAAGATAAGTGCAGGGCAGCACCTTGTGGAAATCCATTCTACTCTTTGGGCATATGTAGTGGTTGCCAATCCAGCAAAGCATCAGAAACCAGACTTGCCTCTGGACATCTGTACATCTCGCATTTGTATATCTGCAGATTCCCAAGAACCACCAGTGGGTAGGCAAGGCTCTGAAATCTGGATGTTGCTGTATTAATGCTTTTAAATATTTCGCAGTGATTCTGATGCCCCCTAAGTTTGAAACCACAGCACACATACCAGCTAGAGAAAAGGGAAATTCATCACATACGTACTATGACAGTAACTCTGCTAACAAACAAAGATCTAGTTATATCTTTAATGCCTCAGAAAATAGCCAATTCACTGAAATACATAAGTTCTTTGGTCTCAAATCTTCACAAAATAATTATATAATTAATAGATTAATCACTTTTTACCTGATTTGGAGTTTCTGCCAGTAGTATTTTGACCAGAGTTCAGCCTCTCTAAGAAACACTTAAACCTCCTTGACTGTGACTTTGGCTTCACTGTGCCTCGAGTTTCCCAAGCTCTGTATGTATTAATGGAACTCATAGGAAAAGACTCAATAAGTGTTCTGTTGTGCTTTAACTATAAAGCACCCTTTAAATAGCTTTCTCTTTTATGGGAATATTCAACTGAAGTGTCTTGGGATGGCCAAACACAATTATTTACAGAGGAGTATATTGCTTCAGAAAGGATAAACCACCAAAAGCAGGGTCCTTGACCTAAGAGGCTTAGGCTTTAAGATGGGGTAAACAAACGTAAGATAACTGTAAAACAGAGTCAGTCTCAAGGCTGGAGAGCCAGCAGCCCTGGAGGCTGTGCAGAAGCAGAGTGGAATTATTCACTTCCCGCACCTCACAAAATAAACCGACTTCTAGAAAACCCTGGTTACTTTCAGACCCATGAAAAGTTTAGAACTTGACGTTTTTAGTTTTAGGCTATTATAGGGAAAGTTGAAAAATAAAACATTCAATGCAGCGTGTGGTTGTTCTAGCTTCGGTTAACATTATATACATGAGATTTATCACTATCGAGGTTAGGTTTGCTACTAACTTACTTTTAAAGATTTTACTGAGTAGATTGTTGTATGATACCAAGACTTTTCCATTGGTCCACTTAATGGTTATTTATTTTTATTTTTATTTATTTTGGTTAGGGTAAGAGATTTAATTTTATTTATTTATTTTTACTAATGTCACCCAGTATAATACACTAAATAAATTTGACAGGAGCTGATGAAATGCTTGGCAGTCTTAATTTTATTTGTGATTAGTCTTCCAGAGAATTCTGCCTTTGGCTCCATAATGTTAGTATAGGAAAGAAAATATAGTCAAATCCCTAAGTGCTATTTGGTCATTAATAGTTTAATGTGTGTTTATTTTTTTCTTCCAGCTTTTTATTTCAGAAAATAAATCCTGGATTATGTTCTCAAAGGAATTAGAATTATTTTGTGTATCTTTTTCTTAAAACCCTGTAGGCAATTTTTCCCCCTAGTGGTTTTTATAAAGGTTTAACAACTGGCAGCCCTGGAATCTGATGACCTCTTTCTTTCCTTTGACTAGATAAGGTAGCACAGCTGCTTGGTAACTTTTCCCACAGAGGCTGCCAATGGTCGGGGGGATGAGGTGTCCCTCTGTAATTCGATCTCCACATAGGATCAGACCTGGTCCTTGTCAGGGTTGAAATTGTGTGCTATATTAAGTTACATTTAGTGTTTTCTGTCCTACTCCTTGAACTACTGTTTTCAGAGACCATCCAACCTACAGAACTTCCTTCAGTCCATTGGGGAGCCAAGTTATAGCAGTACGCATGGTTGTTCAGTCAACAGGCTGTCTGGAGCCAGCTTCTTTAGAACCCACTGGTGATGTTTCTGGCAAAACGATTCAAATTTCCAGTGAAATCTCACCACATAAGGAATGTTAATAATCTTTGGTGAGAAATGACTTGGGCTATGAACCTGCAGGGCAGGAAATTGCGAAGTGGTCAGGCAGAATTTAGAGATGAGCAGTTTGGTTTTGGTGCATTGCTTTTACTTAGCCTGCCCTAACCTTACATCATCTTTTGTGTCTGCATTTATAACTTCTTGTACCCCCGCTGTTATCCTCTAGTACACTGATGTTCAAATCCAGGTGTCCATGAGGCTCATTGCTGGGCTTATCCACAGAGAGTCTGATTCAGAAGTTTGGTGCCAGGTCTCAGAGGCTACATTTATAACAAATACTCCATGTGCTCCTGATTCAGGTGGTCTCAGAAGCACGCTTTGAGAAAAGTATTGTTAACAAAATGTGCTATCACTCAGTCAACATTTGTTAAGAGGAATGTATACATCATAGATTGCTCATATTTTATTGTGTCAACCTACCCTTAAAAAGTAAAATTTTATTGGGAGATATACATATAGAGAAAAATCTATTCCAAGATACCTATGCAAAACAGTGGTATAGATTGTAAATGCTTGATGAGTTAATAAAAGGGGTAGTTACTATTAGCAGCTGTGGTCATGGAAATCTGCCCAATGCTTTAATTTCTTCACTTTCAGAAAAGCGGTTTTTGAAACAGCAAATTTTAAGTAGGAGGGAACTGGGGATTTGCCTACAATTCCAGCTGATGGTAGAAATAAATTTTTTAGAGACCTCATTTATGAAAGCAGCATGCATTAAACATGTTATGTGAGAGGCGTGTTTTGTTTTTTTCATTTTTAAGGCCACCTCATATCTACTCTAGTCAGAATTTAAGTCCTCCGCATTCTTCAACTATTCTAAAGCCGTAGAACATGTTTAGTAGGTTTGAAAAGAAAAAAGGCATTCCCTACAATTTGACCCAAAGAAAACACTGGAGCGCTTTAAAAAGTCAATTCACTCTTACAAAATCGAATGAGGGATTTAAAACATTTTAAGATGGCTCAATTTATTATAGCCACTACTGTGCTGCTGCTGTGGCTGCGGCTGCTGGTCACAGTGGGCAGGGGGTGTATTTTTGCTACTGAAGTGTAGAAACATGGATTGGAACATGATACAATCTTTCTTATGTCAAAATAGAATAATAGAAAGATTCAAAGACTGTGTGAATCAGGTGATGATAGCTTCTAATACCAAAGCTAGCATTCACTTTGATGTTAAATAAATTAATTAATCTTTGTGTCTCAGTCTTTTGTAAAATGGAGGCATTACTATCTTGAGGATTTACGGGAAGGTAAATAAAAGTAATGGTAGAAGTCCTGGCAAATTAAGGAATATTTTTGTATATAAATCATTATTTAAAAAACATGTACACACACGTACACACATTTGTTTTTTCCTTCCTACAAATCTGCATGGCAACATATGTGATGAAATTAAACCTCTTGCAATGGAGCTTTGTATTCTCTGATGCACTTCTCTCCTGCCTCTGTTATCACTCTTGGCAGTGCAAGAATTGGTTTCAAAATCCTAAGCCAAATTAATGCAAACCTAATTGGGCTTCCATAGTATTATATTAAAGTTAAAATATATAATTTTAGCAATGACGGACTAATAAGTGACAATGTTATCAAAGTGCTTACTATTTTTCTAGTGATTTCTCAGTATTAAGTGACATTATTATTGGTTTTAATCAAACAACAAGAAAAATTGCTAAACTTCAAAAACACTATTTTTTATCCATCAACAAATTTCTTTGAGATACTTCTCTAAAGGAAGTATTTTAGTTTTCTATGACCTGGAATTTCTATTGCAAATTAAAGGATCTGTGTTATTAGCGTAGCCATTTACAGTTGAGCCGTGGACATTTTAAACTGAGATACAGACTTTGTTGCTTTTTACAGAAACATTGAACATCTACTATGTGTAATACTCTGTACTTGGTAATGTAGGGGACACAGAAATATCTAAATATATATTTTTCTTTTTTAAATACGTATTTTATTGCATTTTAGGTTTTGGGGTACATGTAAAGTTAAATATAGTTAAAGAAAAAAATGTACTTTGAGAGAAACACTGATAAAGAGAAACAGGAGTGAAAGAAATAATAAAAGTAAATGAATAGATTGCCTAAGATTGAAAACGAGTAGAGCCAAGATGCAAAATTAACTGTAGATTCTCTCTTTATTGTTCTACCCTGCTCCTCTGTATCATTAAGTTTAATTGCAAAAAGGAACCACAAGATATACTTGTTTATTTTCTAGTTACAGATTGCTTTTTGCTGATAGTTTCATACTTTACACTATTAAAAGAAGAAAATAAGGTATTTGAAATGTTTCACTCTATTAAGAAATAGCTTAAATGACTGAACCAGCATAGTGTATAATCAGAACCTATTCCTGACCTTGCCCCTTCCTTCCTATCTTTGTTCATTTTAGCATCATCCCACTACACTCCAGCCTCCATCATTAGCAATCCATGCAAGTAGTAGACTCATCTATGGCTTCTATGTAAGCTCAGTGTTTATGGAGTAAAATTGTTCCTCATCCAAGGGACTTTTTACTTATCTAAACTAATTATATAAGCTGCCATGTTTTCTTTCAACAGTGTAACACATATTGTCTTTTGTTGATTAGAAAAAGAAAGCGGCCCAAAGCATTTATACCTCTTTAGCTTGTACTGTTTGGAAGTTTGAGCATGACATGTGATAGGATGCTAGGGAATCCTTGATACCATTTCTCCCTCTGGAGCACATGTGATGGAGCAACAAGACAGGGTATTATTTCCTTGCTGGAATCACATAAGGCCTAGTCAGCCAAGGCAATTTCACAGTGCCTGACCAAAACACCTTGGCTGCTGCTCCCATGCAGGGAGACTTTTTGGCTGAGAAGGATGACTTGAGTTAGTGATTGCTGAATGCCCTATATTTGGCATTATACTGTTCATGTAAACAGGGAGAACAGAGCAGACATTCATGACTGTAGCTTTACTGACTGAGAGATTTTGGTGAGTAAACATCTACCTTGTTAACTCCATCGGGCTTTTTTTTTTTTTCATTTTAGGTCAGTATCTTTCACCTGCTCATTTTGAAGTTCTAGTTGATGTTGACAGTTCTTTGATATTTGTTGATAAAATACCACACAGAAAATTTCTTTCTGAATTACTCTGTTGTGTGGATTCAGAAGTACCCCTTTAGCACAGTATTTCTCTATGATTACTTCTTGTATTTAATTGAGTTTTTTTTCACCCAGGTAATTTCTTACAATTGTGTTCCAGATTCTCCATATTCATTTAGAATTTGTTGATTTTTTAGCACAGTGCTGAATGTAGAACACGCATTCATTAATGTTTAAATGGATTGATTGACTAATTGAGTTTAATTGCCATTGGCTGTCACAATGGAAGTAATGAACAGGTATTTACAATTGACAAATTAGCTCCATTTGTAAGAGCATGGTGCTGTTGCTTCCTGGGAAAGATTGGGGATTGGTTCCTAGAAAGGCCAATTTGATGTATGAATGTTAGCTATTGTGTTCAACCAATCTCTTCTTTTTTTTTTTTTTATTTTTATTTTTTAAATTTTTTATTGCATTTTAGGTTTGGGGGTACATGTGCAGAACATGCAAGACAGTTGCATAGGTACACACATGGCAGTGTGTTTTGCTTCCTTTCTCCCCTTCACCCACATTTGGCATTTCTCCCCAGGCTATCCCTCCCCACCTCCCCCTCCCACTGGCCCTCCCCATTTGCCCCCAATAGACCCCAGTGTTTAGTACTCTCCTCTCTGTGTCCATGTGTTCTCATTTTTCATCACGCACCTATGAGTGAGAATATGCGGTGTTTCGTTTTCTGTTCTTGTGTTAGTTTGCTGAGGATGATGTTCTCCAGATTCATCCATGTCCCTACAAATGACACAAACTCATCATTTCTGATTGCTGCATAATATTCCATGGTGTATATGTGCCACATTTTTCCAATCCAGTCTATCATCAATGGGCATTTGGGTTGATTCCAAGTCTTTGCTATTGTAAACAGTGCTGCAATGAACATTCATGTACATGTGTCCTTATAGTAGAACAACTTATAGTCTTTTGGATATATACCCAGTAATGGGATTGCTGGGTCAAATGGAATTTCTATTTCTAAGGCCTTGAGGAATCGCCACACTGTCTTCCACAGTGGTTGAACTAATTTACACTCCCACCAACAGTGTAAAAGTGTTCCTTTTTCTCCACATCCTCTCCAGCATCTGTTGTCTCCAGATTTTTTAATGATCACCATTCTAACTGGAGTGAGATGGTATCTCAATGTGGTTTTGATTTGCATCTCTCTGATGACCAGTGACGATGAGCATTTTTTCATATGATTGTTGGCCTCATATACGTCTTCTTTCGTAAAGTGTCTGTTCATATCCTTTGCGCAATTTTGAATGGGCTTGTTTGTTTTTTTCCTGTAAATCTGTTTGAGTTCTTTGTAAATTCTGGATATCAGCCCTTTGTCAGATGGGTAAACTGCAAAAATTTTTTCCCATTCTGTTGGTTGCCGATTCACTCTATTGACTGTTTCTTTTGCTGTGCAGAAGCTGTGGAGTTTGATTAGGTCCCATTTGTCTATTTTGGCTTTTGTTGCCAATGCTTTTGGTGTTTTGTTCATGAAGTCCTTGCCTACTCCTATGTCCTGGATAGTTTTGCCTAGATTTCCTTCTAGGGTTTTTATGGTGCCAGGTCTTATGTTTAAGTCTTTAATCCATCTGGAGTTAATTTTAGTGTAAGGTGTCAGGAAGGGGTCCAGTTTCTGCTTTCTGTACATGGCTAGCCAGTTTTCCCAACACCATTTGTTGAACAGGGAATCCTTTCCCCATTGCTTGTTTTTGACAGGTTTATCAAAGATTGTATGGTTCATGGTTAGGAAGAATTAATATCGTAAAAATGGCTATACTGCCCGAAGTAATTTACAGAATCAATGCTATACCCATCAAGCTACCATTGACTTTCTTCACAGAACTGGAGAAAACCACCACGAACTTCATATGGAACCAAAAGAGAGCCCGCATAGCCAAGTCAATTCTAAGCAAAAAGAACACAGCGGGGGGCATCACACTACCGGATTTCAAACTATACTACAAGGCTACAGTAATCAAAACAGCATGGTACTGGTACCAAAACAGAGATATAGACCAATGGAACAGAACAGAGGCAACAGAGGCAACACAACATATCTACAACCAATCTCTTCTTAAAATTGTGAACCTAATCTCAAGAAAAAACCTGTAATGAAATCAGCAGCAAAAAGCAACAGCCCAAGGTTATGTCCCCAAATGATGGTTCAGGAATGAACTTAACAAATTACATATTTGAAAGCAAGTAGAATAATAAAATAAATTTCTTTATCTCCCTGCTGTCTTCACCCCTACCAAATTTTTTCTTCTTTATTCAAAAATAATGATTGAGTCCCTCCATGAGCCAGACAGACACAGTACTAACGGGAAGAGCTATAAAGGCAAAAGAGGCATGCCCTGACTGTTTGCATTTCAGTGGAAGAGTCAGACAAGAAACATTATAATCAGATCCCTATGCAATGTCATTGGAACATACAATCCAGGGTCAACTGACTGGAGGAGGTGGGAGGAGTTAATAAAGTAAGAAGGAATGAGGGCATTCGTGGAGGGAATACAGTGGGAGAGGCCCAGAGATAGGGAAAAGAGAGGTAGATTAGGAGAACCAAAATAATGTTAGCACAAATTTGAGGTCAGGAGCAACAGGAATGAGAGTTAACATTGAAGTATTATAAATGAACCATGTTATGGTAAAAACATTAAAACTTTACTCCAAAGTAACAAAACGGAATGGGGATTTTAAGCAGAAGCATGGCATGCTCAAATTTGTGTTTTTAACACTTTCCACTGATGGGCTTGAGAGCTGGGGGAAGACAGGAGGCATGGAGACAGGGGGTTGACAGAGAGGATTGAAATAGCTGAATGAATGTGAAGCATATCAACAGGACTGGAGTCTGGTTAGATGTAGGGGGTGGAGGGGAGAGTGAGTCAAGGGTATATATATATATATATATATATATATATATATATATATATACCTATCTGAGTCAAGGGAAGGTAGCACCATTCAATAAAATAGAAATCAGAAAAGCAAGATCAAGTTAAGAAAAAGAAGTTCAAGGATTTAGTTTTAGCTTTGATAAATTTGAAATGTAGAAAAGGCATTTCAGCCAAAATGCCAAACAGATCTTTCTTGTTCATAATGACCTTGTAACTGTAATTCACATATTCATAGGCATTCATTTTTATATCGCTCTTTTTTACCTTCATCACTATCATTATAGTCAAAGTTACCTACTCTGCGCAAACAAAGGATGTGAGGGACACAAAGGAATATAGGTAATCTCCTTGAAGGGTTAAGAGCATTGATAGGTAGATAAGACCTACACTGAAAAACAATTAGCTAACAAAAAGAATCATGTTTAGGGAAGGGTGTATATATATATATACATATATATATATACACACATATACCCTGTAACAGGTGCTGTTTTATATAATACATATATGCACACACACATATATATGTCTTTTGTTTGTAATATATATATAAAGTATATATGTAATACATGTATATATAACATATATATGCCTTTTCTAGTTGTTTTATATATATATATATATATATATATATATATATAAAATATACAATGTCAAATAACAGGTTGAACTGACCTCGGAAAGACTTCATGTGTAAACTAGGACATGTTATTAGTTTCAATAAGGAAAAGACAGGAAAAGATGCTGGATAAAGGCATTTCTAATTTGGGGGCAGAAAGGAAGGGAAAATAGGCAATTTTATCTATAGTTTTAATGTAGTGTATGCCTTGAAATACGGTACTACCTAAGCAAATAACTTACTCATAAAGTTTGTTGTAAAAAGAATGACAGCTTACCAGTACATATCAGTTCAGGTGTATAATTTTAACTTCTAGCCCTACTATCTTTCTCCTATGTAGAATGTTTACTAAACTGGCAATGAAGGGTGTAGTTCTCTTAGGATAAACCAGAGTGGGTAGTTGCTGTGCATAATTTGATCTGCCCCTCCTATGCGTCTAATTTTTTGAACAGTGATATGCAAGCAAGTTCATCGAGGACTTGTTTTCTCTGTAGTTATTAACAAATATTTGATAAATCATTAATGTGAGACCATTGATTGGAATATTGCTAAATTAATTAATTAATTTATTTTAAGTTAACTTTTAAGTTCAGGGGTACATGTGCCGGTTTGTTATATCGGTAAACTTGTGCCATAGGGGCTTGTTATACAGATTATTTCATCACCCAGATATTAAGGCTAGTCCCATTAGTTACTTTTCCTGATCCTCTCCCTTCTCCTACTCTCCACTCTCCAGTAGGCCCCAGTGTCTGTTCTTGCCCTCTATGTGTCCATGTGTTCCCATCATTTAGCTCCCACTTTTAAGTGAGAACATGTTCTTATGTTTGCTAAGGATAATGGTCTCCAGCTCCATCCATGTTCCTGCAAATGACATGATCTTGTTCTTTTTTATGGATGCAGAATATTGCATAATGTATATATATCATATTTTCTTTTTCCAGCCCCCACATTGCTATATTTAAAGTAGAAAAGAAGAGTTAAAACTAAAAACCACTTAATTGGTGGGAAAATGTGGTCTAAAGGCCAATAACTTAGAACAGTGCTATTCAACAGTAATATAAAGAGAGCCACACATGTGAGCCCCACATGCAATTTTATATTTTCTAGTAGGCACATTTGAAAAAGTAAACAGGTGAAATTAATAATATATTTATTTATGTTGATAGAGCTGAAATATAATTTTAAGACATAATCAAAATATGTATATATACATAATCATAAAATTGTATTAGTGTGATATTTTACATTCCTTCATTTTTCATATTAACTATAAAATTCAGTATTTATTTTATACCTAAAGTACATCTGAATTCAAACTAGGTACACTTGAAGTCCTCAAGAGTCACGGAAGAGCACCATATTGGATAGCAGAGGCTTAGAATGGAAAGCCTCTTATGTTTGGGTTGTAATAGTCAGGTTGCTAGTTACTGCACACATTCAGTCTGTTCCAAAGATAAATGCGTTGAATTATTTGTGAAAATAATTCTCAGAAGCAGAAGAAATAAGAAAACATAAGAGGGAGTTAACTACTATTAAACATCTGGGCTCCAGGCAAAGGGCGGGATATTTTATATTTATTATTTCATTAGTCACTGCATCAGCTGTTTGTAGTGAGATAAGCACATGTAAATAAATCCATAAACAGACAGATGTATAAGTAAACAACTATTGCACAACAAACCCAATGGACAAAAAAATGGAAATTCAAAAACTTAGTTGTTCAAGATTACATAGCTAATAAGTGGCAGAACCATGAGTCACATCTAGTCACACCAGTCTGACTCTAAAACTGATGTGCTTTCCACTATGCTTGTCTCTTAAGGCATAGCCCTGGTTTTTCTCAAACTTTCATTAAATAGTGAATCAGCACATGATTTTGCAGTGAAGAATAAGCTTTTAGCAATACCTTATAATAGAAAAGACATCAGGAACCGAATCATTGTAAAGACACATTACTAGACCAAGCTCCTGGTAAACCCTAAACTTTAGTGAGAAAAAGGAGTTCCAGTGGATTACTCAGAAGAGGCAAATGAGAACTCTGTGAAGAATGGATTGGATCTGAGCAAAGAGTAAGTACATCTTAACTTCAGGTTTTATGTTTAATTCACTCATGTACCATAACTTACTTTAGAAGATTTACTATTCTAAACATCTGAGAAGTGAATTGAGGGAGTTAACATGCAGCATTATGTAAACATTATTGAAAGCATAAATGTATTGGGTTTACCTTCTTTCCTTTCTAGTATATACATACAGCCCTACAACTATACTGAGAATTTAGCCCTGGGGACATCTCCCCATATAATCTGGCATGAAAGAGCGGTTATCAGACCGTTAGCATGGATAAGACACCTGGAAAACTAATAAAACACAAATTCCCGGCCTTATCTTCATAGATTCTGAGTCAGTGGGTCTGAGAAGAGACTTGACAATCTGTACTTCCAGTAAGCTCTAAGGAGATACTGATGGTGCTGCTCCATGGACCACACTTTTGTGCTGTGCTGGTTTAGACAGTGAGGGATAGCTGAGGTAGTTTAATTATAAAGTCAGTTTGTCCTTTGCTGATTGGTCAGCTGCTTCTAGATTCCCTGAACTTTCCTCCTTTTGATTCTTTTTTTCCCTGAACTCTGTAGATAAATTCGGTAAGTAAGATGTCAGTTTATCCGAAGGAAATGGCAGGAGTGACTTCAACAGTCCTTAATTCCTGTTTGGTTACTGACTTCAAGGCTGTAGACTACTGCATGGCAAAGGCAGATTCAGTTCTGATCAAAGTAAGATAAATTGTAAAGAGATGATCAAAGAGCTTTAGAATCTCCAAATGTGTGCAAGTTTCCTAATCTGGTAGAGTTATATTCTAGAACACTGACAAAATAAAATATTAAATTGATAAATATAGTGGTCTCTGAAGAATTGCGAGAATGAGATGAGAGGGAAGTAAGAAATTATCAAGTTTTGATTCTTCAGGAGAGATAGAGGGAGAAAGGCAGACAGAGAACAAAAGCTGTTTCCACTAATAGCAGAGCAGTGCCTTTATTTTGGGGTTCTTCATAAGTAATGATGTGATGAGTTATTAGTAACAGTTTATAAATACCATAAGAAAAAAAATAGAATTCATTTTGCCTATCATGGCTTCCCTAAAACTAAGATGTCTTGTTTTCTTGTTTGAGTGGGGTTCTAAACCATGAAATAAGAAAATATGGTAAAAAAGTAAAAGTAAATTTAAGACATCTATTTTTATCTCTTCTTATGAAGGTGATGAAGAAACTAACCAGATATAAGGACAATAGCAACTGAATGTTCAATCTAATTGATTATAAGATTTCCATCTCTCTGGAGGTAGATGGTTATTAGAATGACATACCTTTGTTCTTGGCTTTTTGTTTAGCCAAGATGTGAATAAAAAATATATATGTTATGCTCATCAATTTTATGGATAATAAATTAGGGAGAAAGTGTGACTATTCTGGTTAATAATATTTTAGGACTAAAAACTTAGAGTGAAAGACTCATTCTAGTAAAATAAGTTTAAACAGCAATTAAATATGTAGAGAATAACAGAAATTTGGCATAGCAGGTAAATATAAAGAATACAAAGTTGTAGAAAAAAATAAGGTTGTATATGATTCAGTATTAGGGCTAAAAAAAAAAAGCCAATGCAAGAGTTAGTTATATTAGTAAAAATTAAAAGTTAGAATTAGTCAATAACTATTCTGCTTTACTTCCA